AAGGCCAGTCTGAGAGGGCTCAGGAAACCCCAACAGAACCCCAGACCTGTAAAGAGAGTAGGGCTCAGACTAGAAAGGCCAGAAAAGGTCTCAATTGAAATAAGGGAGGGGGAGCTATGTGACAGAGTGCTAGTTGTAGCATCCTGGTCACAAAGGATGTTACAGGCCTATTTGAAATAAATCAACCTGTTCCTAGTGGAGTTACTGACAACTGGTGGCAATTGTTGGGCTACTGAGATAATTGGCTTAGTAATGGGAGGTTACAGAATTGGGAGGAACAGAAAGTAAAGGGAGAGCTCAGATGGAGGAGAGAAAGCTGTGTGAAAGCTCCTTCTGCTGTATACCGGTGTTATGTCCCGCCATGTTTGGAAACTGAGGATTAAAAGGTACCTGTAGGGTAAGAAGAAACAGACTATGTGTGTCCGTGAATAGGAATCCACAAAAACAGACTAGGCAGTGCTGCACACAGGGTAGTGTGAGAAGGACCCGTGATACATGGGTTACCTCTTGGGCTTTAACATGGATCAGATGCAGATCTGAGTGTCTTTTTGCTGCCATCTTGTATTAATAACTTCTTATATATGCCTCTGTTAAAGGTTAGTAAAGACACACTTGGAAATTAGGATGGCATTAAATAACTTTCTTACTGCTTGGGTCAGAAATTAAGGATATTGATATACTAATGAAGGAAACATGTCTCTGTTCTCGGACAATCCCATCTCTGTTGTCCATGAAACTTTGGTCAAAGTATCCATTTTATTCATTAATTTTGAGGAAAGTTCAGTAATTGACGGTTCGTCTTGTTGGGTTCTTGAAATAACTGATGAAGAAAATGAATACAGATTGAAAGTATAGAGAACAGGGAAGAAAGGAAAGGGTGATCTGGAAATTCTTGAGTTTAAGTGTCATAGTTTGTGAACAGAACAACTAATGAGTTCACTCAAGAATACAGAAGCTATTAATTTTTAGCTATAATGATGCATACAAAACAGCTGGAAATGGAAACTTCCAACATGCTTTTAAAGGGCTCACTGCACCCCTGCTTCCTTGTATTATATTTCTATGTGGATAAGGAAGGCCACTAAACGATATCTTTAATTCTCTTATCCTTAATTTGACTGAGAATAGTCTTGCAGAGTATCAATCTGATCTGTTTGCAACATTAACTAGAATATACTATCATATTAGCCCAGAGAAATTTCCAAAATAAAGTGACAACTGAAAATTCATCAGAGAGTGTATAGATATTACAATTAGAAGATAGGATGATGTCAATGCTTGAAGCAGAAAGCTGGTGAGTCTTAATACTGAATTAATGCCAAAACTATTGCTTTGCCACACAAAGATATTCCAAAATGTAATGCCAGCACCATATACCGATTTGGCAAGAAAAATGCAGAGAATGCTACAGATTGTGTTGACAGCGTGACATGATGTTTTCTTGGATGTAGTCTGGGTATCATGAGAGTAAGCCTGGAGACACTAATGAGAAAAAGAATACAGCACTGGAAGAGCTGCTAAATATGCAGTAGTCACAGGATGCCTGGAGCTTGCTGGAACTAGAGTGGTAATTTTGACATTAAAGCAGCATAGTGTGAATTGGCCAGAGAAGCTTGAAGCAAAGGGATTCAAGAAGGTTGAATTTGTTTCTCATACCACACTTGCAAAGGAGTAAAGGAGTTTTCAAATTCTATGATTTGAATGGAGTTTTCAAATCATATTCTGTTTACAGAAATGGAGTTTTCAAAACATATTCTTGTTATCACCAAGTTCTACATTTAGGAAGCAGGAGGGTCCCAAGCCAGATGGTAAACACAGATCAGAAGTTCAGAGCATTCAAAAAACAAGTTGAATAAACCAAAATTACTGGTTTCCATACTATAAAATGATTGGCTACTACCACTTTTAGTTGGCCCTTAAAAGCAGCCAAAACAAGACCTGAATTTTTAGGTAAACAGTCTGAATCTGGGGAGTTGGCGAAGACAAGATATCTATGTTGCTGTTGTGAACTCTCATTACGGAGTTCTTCCTCTTCCATTCTTCCTCTACCGTTTTTGTAGCCGACTTCCTGCATTCCACTGGAAACTGTCCCACATTGTCAGAGCATTGAAGAGCCACATTAAGAGGTGCCAAGATGCATACTCTCAGATGGAATAAGTCTGGATCTCCCTGGGGAATCTGACTTTACCTGTAAGATGAAAGGCCTGGTGACAGAGGAAGAAAGAAAGCTGGGTCTAATGGCATGGTCAGGAGATTGGAAGATCACAATTGAGCAAACTCTCTGATGCTAAGCAAATACCTTTCTCTTGACTGTGGAAATATGTGGAATTGAGGGAAGGAAAATAACTGGTTGTGACTTAAGTCTAGAGGGAACATACAATCAGAGAACCTGGATGCCTACCAGCTCCTACCAATCCCAAGGACATTTGATATTATAGAATCTATATGTGGAAAAGATCTATTAGATCATTCAGTCCATCACTATGAAGATGCAGAATTGTTTCCTATAGTGCATTTTCTTGTGCTTGACCTTGTAGCTAGGCAGATCTACACTGGAGTGCTACAGCACTGCTGTCTTCAAAGAGCACTTGAGCTGATTGTAAAGTTTTTAGATTGTCTGCAGGAGACTAGCTTCCCCCATCAAATGAATAGCTGTAAGAAAGTTATGAAGGATGCACCAATCCCACAGGGTTCTGTCTTCATAATACAGTTTAAGTGAGAGTCCTGCCCCAAATGGTTGAGAATACATGGCTCTTGAGTTGTACATCTGAGTTTATACTACTGTATCTGTGTATACTGAATTGTGAATCAACTGCCAAATACATGAACCCCGCTCTTAATGCCAGGCACACTGCACTAAGTTACAATACACTGATGCAAACTCTGGGTTTCTCTGGCTTTATACAAAATATTAAGATATTCTCGAGAACTCTCCATTACAGCCCAAATGCCTATCACCACTTCTGGAGAGGTTTAGGGGAAAAAATCCTAAAGAATGTTTGAAGACACTATCCATCAGATGAGGGGATCTTGCATTGAATGATGATCAGCTGCTGACTTCTGGTTTGCCATTTGCACTCAACCAAGACTGTAGGTTTCTCACGATCAGCATGTGTAATGTATTCCCATCAATGCAAGAAGCCATAAGACCTCAAAAAAATTATCCTTTCCCCCCAACACCTGACTGAAAATTTATAGAAGCATTATTTCTTTGAATGTTTAATATTTCTTGTGGAGCTAAAAGGCAGTAACCACTGACGCATCTAGACTGGTCCCTATGAGTGTTAATTTCTATGTCTGGGTAAAGATGGACTTTATTGATTCCTGAGCAGGAAGCAAACTTTGTATAGTGAACGAAATGTGGAAGAATGCCTCTCAGGCTGAGAGCACTAAACCAGTCCTGTGAACTGATAAAAGACATGGTGGCTACCAGTGTCACCATACAAAAACTGAACCTTGAAACAAACTTGTTCAATACAGAACAAAGACCCTTTCCCTTTGGAGTGAGAAATTTTCTCATGTAATCAGTGCCTTGAACATTCTGCAATTCCATAGAGTTTGCAGCAGAATCTCCTATTTGCTCACTCCTTGCCAGACAATTGTGTTAAAGCTTTCACTTTAACCACCGCCTCCTGCATCTATCCCACATAGTTGTTTTATAACTTTGAATACGTGGCCCAAGTGTAAATAGATATGCTGTTGCCTTCTTGGATCGCAGACATCCTTAACATAGCTCAGAAGTGTGAACAGCCATAATCATCTCAGTGAGATATGGAACTCAAACCTAATGATAATTTAATTGTTAACTCTTTCACTGCTGGTCATTTGAGCAGAAATATCCAATTATATCATAGCATCCCACAAATCTCAGTTGCCTCCCATGCTTTCCCAGGTATCAACACCCAACTGTCTCCAATTCAGCTGCCAAAATCTTCAGCAAGAAAACTCCTAACCAATTATTTTCATATGAAAATTACAGTAGAAATTACACTTAGGTGTCCTAATTCTATTAAAGGGAAAAAGAGGACAAACAAGAAAACACAGACAGAATGATCCTTTGCCTATGGGAGTAAATAAAGAAATTGAGGCACTTTCCTTTGTAAATGGCATTTTTGCAGATTCAAACATTTACTGCAAGGGAGTATTATGCAGTTTGCCACAAATGCCATTCCTTTCTAGATTATTCCAGGTGCATATTCTCCCAAGCACGGGAATCCGCAGAGGAAATTATTTCCTGAGAATACACAGTAGGCTTATCCTCCGGAAAATAGCATTAACACTTTAATGCCTAAATGAGATTACTAGAGATAACAAGGAACTAGACAGCTAGTACTGTATTATCACTCTTCCTTTCATTAAAGAAGACAGAAGGAAATAAGAAAAACTTAAGAAAATTTAAAACAGTGAAGGAAAGATCCATCCCACTTCACCCACATTTACCCTATTTGAAACAAGAAATTACACTAGGGAAATGGGAAAAAGCTCTTTTTTTAAGTTCCTTTGGTCAAGTGATATCAGTGGTGTGGGCAAAGATGCCAAAAATGTGCTTGAGTGCTCAGGGTTATAAGAAGGCCACCATGCTAGGGAGAACTAAGAAAGTATTTCTTATTCTTAATAAGAGAGTTTATATTAACCTTGTTCTTGTAAAAACAGACTACAGGAGAAGATTTTTTAAGTTTCAGCTCATCATCATTTGATTAAACTGACACATCACTCATTTGCCTGTAATTGTGATGATTTGAAAAATAGCATTGTGAATGTTAGAGTTAGCATTTGAAATAGATTACCACTATCTGTTTCTTTTCTATGTATTGTTTAAACCTCTTTTAATTAAATTTTTTAAATAAGTGCACAACGAAGTGCACATCCAACCTCCATACAGTACAAGGGAAATCCAATAGGATTAAGCTCAGCAAATAATTTAATAAAACTCTACAAGAAAAATGACTTAACCATTAAGGACAATGCAGCACTAATGCGTTTCATAACCAATGTCTTACCAACTGTAAAAGGGTCAGTGCACATGTCACTTCTGTTCTCCTTCCATGCCAGCAGGTACTCAATGCTGACGTGATCTGCAGCGTCTATATGACTGTTAACTGCCACCATCATGTTATGAGCTTTTGCGATGCCGTAATAAACTTTAGTTTCATTCACCACGGGCAAGTCAGTTAGGGTGTTTGCTGCCTCAAAAGCCTGACTGAAATATTCACAGGCTTTGTAATAGTTCCCCTAATAAGGAAGAGAAAAGCGAAGAAGAGGTTTTTACATTTTTTTTTAACTAGCACATCTTTAACCTAGTGCTTTGTACTTCCCCCTTCACAAGCGTAAAGAAGCCACAGCTGTTATTCCACCCCCAAAATGATTCACTGTGTGATCTTGGAAAAAAAATCACACCTCTCTGCCTCAGTTTCCTAATCTGTAAAATGCAGATAATATGACTTACTTACCTGTCTCTCTGGGGAACTGTATTTATTAGTCTCTGTTCATATAGCATTTTGAACATGTAAGCTTCTATATAAATGGTAAATACTATTTCTGATTATAGCTGAGCCACTCAGTAACAGTAACCAGAAATTCAATACATTCAACATCCTTGGAAAAGGATAAAAACTAGCATGGTGACACTAACATTTAGAAACAGGGATTTTTTTTTTTAAAGAAACAAGGAAGTTAGTCAAAACTCCTACAGTCAAAAGTACAGAAATTAAAATTTTTGGAAATAATAATAGTGTCTCTGAATGCATGCACTCTATACAAAAAAAAGGGAAACAGGAGGGCAAGATGTAAACTCCTATGGGTAAATGGCAAGGCTAAAGAAGTTATTCAAGCCACAGATTTCCTTCAGAAAATGGAAATCCAACACTAGTGGAGCCAAAATAAAGGAGCATAAACTATAGCAGGCAGTATGTAAGAAGGAATTAGTAGGGCTAAGGTGGAATTTGAAGAGCAAATAGCTAAAAGAAATAAAAACAAATAAGAAGTAATTCTTTAAATACATCAGAAGCAGAAAGACCGAGAGAACCCATGGGTCTGCACCACAGGGCAGTAAAGGGAGCAATTAAATAAAATAAGGACATTGCTGAGAAGGTAAATGATTTCTCTGCATCTATCTTCACCACAAAGCATGTTGGGGAGATGCCTACACTGGACCTATTCCTTTCTGGTAATAAAGACAAACTACAATCTAAGATGGATGTGTCTAAGGAAGAGATGCTGAAACAAGCTGACAATTTAGAAGGCAATATATCACCAGGCCCAGATGGTATACAGCACAGAGTTTCTGAAGGAACCTGAAATTGAAGTGGCTGAGTTGCCAGCAAATATATGGACTCCTCATAAAAATCAGATACTATAATAGAGGGTAGCAAGCGGCACACCGAAAGTTTTAAAAAAATAGGGTGCCACAAGATTCTGTACGAGCATCAGTGTTGTTTAATCTGTTTGTTTAGTTATCTGGAAAAGGGGGTGAGTAATAAGGTGGCAAATTTGCAAAGGACACAAAATTATTTCAGTTAGTCAAGACCACGGAAGACTGGGAGGAACTTCAGAAGGACCTAATCAAAGTCGGTGAATGGGCAACATGATGGCAAATGCAATTCAATGTTGAAAAATGCCAAATAATGCACATTGGAAGGTATAATTTGAATTACTTAAACACTTATTGGGCTATAAATTAACTGTATCAGCTCAGGAAAAAGAGCCAGGCATCCATATGAACATCTCAGTGAAGACATCTGCTCAATGTGCAGCAGCCTTAAAAATAAAATATAATATATTAATAAAACCAAACAAAATGTTAGGATGCATAAGGAATGAGATGGAAAAGAATACCCAAACTATTATAATGTGAGATTATATAAATAAATGGTATGCCCTGGCTTGGAATACTGTGTTCAGTTCTATTTACTCCACCTCAAAAAAGATACAGCAGCAATAAATGAGGTTCAGAGATATATCATGAGAATGACTAGGGCCATGAAAAAACTACCCTACGAAGAGAGAGTAAAAAAAATTGAACAGCCTACACTAGACAGGAGATAAGATATGACATGATAAAAGCACACCAAACAACAAATTGTACAGAAAAGATATATTGGGAAGATTCTTTCCCATGATACAAAAAGCAAGGGGGCATTTGATATAACTGAAAGGCAGCAAATTCAAAACTAATTAAAGGAAATATTTTTTCACACAGTGAAGAGTTAGCCTGTGAAACTCATTGCCACAAGATATCATGGAGGCCAAGAGTTTAAGATTTAAAAAAGAGATTGGACATTGATATGAGTAACAAGAATATCCAAATTACAATCGTAAATATTTTAAAAATAGATAAATGTTTTGGAAGGGATATAAAGGATCAAGTGTTAGGGCATAAGCCAAACTTTAACTAGTGGGGTTAGATTGAAACATTCCCTGCAGGCAAATCATCATATAACTGCCTATTACAGGCTTTTTGTGTTTTTGTCTGAAGCAGCTGAAACCGGCCACTGACCAAGAACACGTACTAGATAGACAACTGGTCTGACCCAGTATGGCAATTCCTATGTTCCTATTATTAGCAGCCATAGTGGATCAGTTTCCATTCCTCAAACCCTCATGGAATTCTGTAGCCCTTGATGGGTACATCCTTCCTGACACACAAGTCTTTTTCAGAGAGGTCACCTGCTTGACCCCTTTACTTTTAACTTGACTAAGTCCCTCCCTGAAGATTTCAATTCCCCTGTGCAATTGTGGAGTCTGATTAGACTGTTAGAGGTTTTGAGGGCTTCCTGGTGGGAAGGAGCTATGGGTAGGATGTGACTTTTTTATGCACACAAAAACTCATGAGCATGGTCAGCACTGTAAAAAGGAAAAGTGTATTTCTGATGTTAAATATGCAGCTTAATGGGATATGATTTAAAAACCACCAATCACTAGAAAAAATTCTTCAGTGACAGAAGTAGCAACCTGGCTTGCATATTGGAGCAGAGAGTTCTTTTCATTCAGATAATCCCGCACTATTTTACTGTGGACAGTTCTTTCCTCAATTTTTGTTGAGACTAACTAGGATTTAGAACCATCAGAATTTGTTTAGTCTTGCAAAATCACTCCTATATTTATGCTAAGAGCTAATACTAGCCTAAGGCTAGTTAAACTACATTTATTTGATATATTCCAATAAAATAAAATCTTACTTCCTATCAAGTAGAAATATAATTTGCTATTGATGTTTCAAGTAGTATGATTTCTAAAACTAAACAGTAACAGCAATAACTGTAACAAGAAAAGCAACACATCCCTTAAAAATGAACCAAATGAAGGAAAGAACTCTGCAGAGCAGATATATGCTTTTGCTTTAGTATTTTTAATTTCAGGAGACTTATACACAGTTTCAGAAAGACAATTTGAAAAGAGACGTCATTTAACATAATGCAATGAACTCTCACTATACATGTTTTTAGTTTTAAAGAAATATTGCCATATTTTTTAAGTAATTTATTTTACAAAAATCCCCAAGAATATTAAAAAGTCATCTTCTCTCTCTGTATTTCTTTCTTTTTGTGATATCATGATTCAGTGCTGAGACACCAATCAATTCTGAATTCTGATATCACAAACAGAACTTAAGAAGAACATGTATAGGAGAAGGCTAGTTCTTCCAGAAGATCACTTTGAATGCAGTTGGTAATCAACAATGATGGCAGAAGAATGTAAATGGCAGTTAACCAGAGTCTGAGTTAAATATTTTGCAATACTTGCCTGAACTGTGGAGGGGAAATATTTAACCCTACTGTTGATATAAACCTATTTTATTCTGCCTTCCAAATCCACTAAACTACAATAAAGGTACATTTTAAATATATTTCTTAGATATCTTGCAAATTCTTTGGCTTTCAAGATCATTTTTAGAAAGGCAGAGTCTTTTGAATTTGCATTAAGGAGCAAAGCTTTAAGTGAGAATATCGTAAAATTGAAGTCCCAGGTTAATTCAAAGATTACAGCATAGACTTTGTATCATTGCTTAAGCAACACCACAGGACAATAACCTTTACATTGGGAATTCTGTATAAGATAAAACATAAAAGTAAGGAGTCACTTGGGGGTTGCAATTTCTAAGGTGGACATGCAGCCTGTAGAATAAATTAAAAGAACATTATTTAGGTCACCAAAACAAGCACTTGAAAGTTAGGAAATACCAGATTTATGGTTGCTGCATACCCATAGAGTTCCCCCACTTTTTCAGCAATATGGTAGCCTTAGCTCAGAAATGCTCTTAGTAATTTAAAACTTCATTTTCAGTATTTATATAGAATTTATTCATGGTGAAAGTGCCTTTCCACCTTCTGCAACTAGCAGGGTTGAGCAAGATGGGTACAATTTTCTTTTATTACTTATTATTTCACCATGATTCCATGTATCATTTCAACTTCAAAAATGTTTTAAAAACAATTGGTATCAAATATTTTTTTTCTGAATACTTGTTTGAGTTTTATTTGTCCCTGTATGGGCAGCTGCACTGGCATGGAAAGAAAGGCAGCTAGTGCCTTCATTTGGGGTTTCACCAGAGGAGGACAGATTTCAGAGCGGTAGCCGTGTTAGTCTGTATCAGCAAAAACAATGAGGCATCCCTGTGGCACCTTAGAGACTAACAAATTTATTTGGGCATAAGCTTTCGCGGGTTAAAACCCACTTCATCAGATGCATGGAGTGTAAAATACAGTAGGCAGGTATAAATAGACAGCACAACTCCCATCTTTTCATGTGCTGTGTATTTATACCTGCCTACTATATTTCCTCTCCATGCATCTGATGAAGTGGGTTTTAGCCCACAAAAGCTTATGCCCAAATAAATTTGTTAGTCTCTAAGGTGCCACAAGGACTCCAGAGAAGGACAGTTTTAAGTAACAGGCCTACTTCAAAAAGAAGCTGTCTGGGAGATATGTTAAATCAGCGTATTTCATGGTTACCCCAACCTTGCCTTGTCCAGCATTGTCTATTTTCTGGGTTGCACAGACCAAATCAAGGCCATCAAGTAGAATGGGTATGAGTGTACGTGAGCACGTGTGTGTGGAAAAAGATTTTGCGTTACTGATACACTCCCCTGGAGGACTTTCTCATTCAGAAAGTCACTTCCTGAATTATGCTGGCAGAGCACACATAGCAAATTAGGCTAAAAGGTTTAAATCTCCACCAGTGTAGTAGGTTAGAATTTTTATTTGTCCATTTGTTAATTTTCAAAGAGCAGTAGTTATACTGTACAGTAGTATACTATAAGATATTTATTTGTGATTTAATTGTTAATTTGCATAGATGTGCCCAAGCTGCATATCTGGATCCAGACTATTGTCAGAGTTGAAATATAGGGGTGGTTTGGATTTGGGGTTTTGGTTTGACTCATTATAGAATTGCATCCTTATTGTGAAATTTGGATCTGGGTTTAGGAACACATTTTAACGTTACCCAAAAGTGTTCAGATTTAGAGTTCCAGTTCACAACCATACCTAGTCATTTGGCAATATAGGAGAAATTCCTATATGAATCAATACATTCATCAGATTTCTGATGGGACAGTCTCTCATACAAGAACACAGATTTTGACCCTGAATTACAATCAACTCTAGGTTTCAGAGTAACAGCCATGTTAGTCTGTATTCGCAAAAAGAAAAGGAGTACTTGTGGCACCTTAGAGACTAACCAATTAAAGCTCATGCTCAAATAAATTGGTTAGTCTCTAAGGTGCCACAAGTAATCAACTCTAGGGCATCATCATTATAACTAATACTTACTCTTTCATTGTAAATATCTCCAAGGGATATGCATGCATCCACTAAACTTCGGCTTAGCTGAGCACTCTCGGCAACCGTCACAAACTTTTCCAAGTACTCAATAGCCTCAGTCACTTTTCCCTGACTAAAACAAATGACAAAGGTTGCAATTACATTTTTATTGAGGTTGTTTCTTCATACACTGCAATAGACTATAGTTGAGAATCTGTCATTGCTTCCCTCAGCAGCCTTATTTTGAAGTAGTCTAGAAACTGTATTTACTAATTTGCTTTCGGGTGAAATTTGGAACCCAATTCTGTCCTCATATGCACATCTGCTACCTCTATGGAAGTCTGTAGGGCTGTGATACTCAGACTGAGACTTGCGAGCTGTAAGTGGCTCTTTACTGTGTCTCCTGCAGCTCTTTACAGCACATGATATTAAAACACTGTGTGATTTAATTATTAAACAATCTAAGTTGTTAGTCAATCTGGATGTTTTTACTATGTTATTAATCAATTGTAGCTGACAAGGGGCAGAATTAGGTCCTCTGTACACAAAAAGAAAAAAAAATACTTTTCCTAAATTGCCAGTATATTGTTGCATTATTTTTAGTACCAAGAATGAAAAAAATAGGTAGGCTATTATTTACAATGCTTGTCTGAGTTTCCAGTACTCTAAAATGATGTTTTATTTAATCAGCATCTGGTCACACATTTTTGTAGATAGGTCAGACCTTGCCTAGTGACCAAATTGAGAGAACATGCCGAGGGAGGGGACTAAGCATATTAGTTTGTCAGTGAGAAACTTGCTTTTATATTTTTCTGCCCCCATCACTCATGGATGCCACTTTTTCTGCCCCCATCACTCATGGATGCGACTTTTTGCTTTAGAATCCTTTCCCTTCTTGTACAGCAGCTGCAATATAATGACACTAACATTGTAGACCATAGAACTGGTAGCCTCCTTCAGGATGTAATGTTGCTGTTTGGCTGCACAGACCAAGGGTTGCTACAGTCATACAGGCTACCCTATAAACTGTGGATTGCAGGTGTCACCTCCAATTCCCACTGAGACTCAGGCTACTTGAGGTTACTCCCAATCTAGGATGAAAATTGGCTAATGACTTTGATAATAATATTTGCACATATCATTTTTAATAAAGCTGGCTATGTTAAAAATATAGTATCTCTGCCCTCTAGGCCAGAGGCTCGAGTTTGCTTGCGAGTGAAGCACTGCACTCTTTTTCTCTTTAAGGCGGAGTGTCACTGCAGCTGACCTCAATATAAGCCATGAACTTGAGTCTCTAATGTAGTAGTGCAGCACGCTATATGTCAACTCACCAAGCCAGCCAAAAAAATCCAGTCCTAATTTAGAATCTCACAAATTTAAGTTCCTGTAAGTGATGAAAAGTAGTGATATATTTTCATACTATTTTAAAACACCTTTAAATTATATTCCTGCAACAAATGACTGACTGAGGCTTATTTAAGCTAATCCTTTTAATATAAACCATATTAGGGATATGTGTTTCCAGAATTTGATGGTGCTATGTCTGCTATGGTTCCTTAATTGGCTTATGCAAACAGAGTAATCAGAACAGTGAAGTTCCTGCCACTGAACAGGAAAAAACAGTGAAGCTTTGATGAAAATCTTTAATATTGCTGTGACCACTTCTAGATAAGTGGACTCAGCTGCACTATTGCAATCGGCTGCCAAAACATCCAGAATTTAACAGGGTGCTTAAAATGTTCAAGTGTTATGTTACAGTAAAGAACGTATTTTTAAATGAATAGAATTCTATTTATCAAAATTATTAAATGAACATATTTAAACAGCACTAGAATATGAAATGTACTGAACTGTAAACATTTGTCCAATGTCAAAAGGCTTCTGAATTTTAGAATTAGAAACATATTTGGAAACCTACTTTTCTTCCAAAGGGGAGAAAATCAAACATTTCCACACAGAAGCGTGGCACATGATTTATATAAGTTAAAGGACAAGGTTAAAGTGTTAGACAAATATTAATTCCAGTTTTTCTAGTTTTCTATATGCAGTGCACAGGTGCAACTTGAACAGCATATTATATGGTATAATCATTAAATCCATTCAACCAGACCTTAGAGAGTTAAAAACATATATTCTGAGGAAAAGAACTCCTCGGTCCAAAGGATGAGAATGAAACAGTGCAGAATATTTGTGTATCAAGGTGATTCCAGTTTCCAACTGGGAAAACAGGACTGTTAACACCCACATCCCCTGACAACTGTCCAATTATGTATATCACACTTGGCCTACTGTTTGCAGTAGAAGTAATCAATAAAGGATGTGGTTGAGTGAACATAGATTTTGGTTGAACCAATGCATGAAAACTTAATCATTTACTCAGAGTGGAGAAATCAAATAGAACAGAGATGAAACAGCCACTAAGGGGTTTGTTGAATGTGCCACCAAGTTTGTGGGCTAGTGACTGAAAGTAATAAGGCAAATGGAATCAGTGACAGGAGAAAATGTAAAAAGGTTTTCTTAATCTCATGAATTAATAGCAATGTTTTGATGTATTTTTGGTCATTTTTGGATATTTCATATCAAAGACCTTATGTTCCATTTATAGAAAATATAAACATTACTAGGGCATATAATTTCTCTCAGGCAAAAGGAAATTAATTTGATTAATAACATAAAGGTAATTCTCACAGTTAGAGCTTTATTTATGCCAACTACCAAAGAGCTCTGCTACTAGATGGTAGAATAGTCTTCCAAGGGAAGTTATGGAAGCCTATAGCTTGAGACATTTAAAACTAGTCCAGACAGATCACTAAAATATATTCTGTCAGAAACAACTCTGCACTGGACAGTAGGATGCACCTAATAATGTTATAAATAGGTCTTATCCACCTCAATCATCTATAATTTTATGGTTCTTTCAAAAATGCATATTTTTCAAAATTTCTACATGCTTTGTATAACTATACACATTCTGCTTCCTAAGATATTACCCTCCTATACTTGTGAGATATTCAGCTTTTTTACAGCACTGGCATTCATGACTCCATAGGGCAGTGAAGATTGCTTCAGTAAAAGGCATTACATACCTGTAGTACTCTTGTTTTCTCGATTCAGGCTAAATGAGCCAATGAAATTTTCTCTGCAAGTGTTAGGCATTATGGAGGCCTGAACCTTTTGTGATGTTGCTCAAGCAAGTCGTGCAAGGATGACTGAATCTGATGCACAAACCGAGTGTCCACAACAAGTCACTTGTTACTACAGAGGACACTGTCAGAGGTTATCTTGAAGGTGATGCCCTTATACCAGACTGCTCCTCAAATAATGATAGGCTTAGAAACCTCCAATCAGGCTTCAGTAGCATGGTTAGGATCTTCAAGACTCCATATAAAACTGCAAAATTTACAGGACCACAGGCTGGTTCTCAAGGCTTTTCCAGTCTTCTGGGATCTTTCCTGTCATCCATGACTTCGTAAATACTATTGCCAGTCACTCAGATTTCTTCTGCTAATTCCTTCAGTACGCTCGGGTGAATAGCATCCAGCCCTGTTGATTTGAATTCATTCAAATTGGTCAGAAGATCTCTGACGTGTTCTTTACTTATCCCGTATTTACCGCATTCCTTCCCTTAACTTCATTAGTTGTCCGGTCACCTCTTATTTTTTTGTGAGAAGACTGAAGCAAAGCAGGCATTGAGCAGCTCTGCCTTCCTATCATCTTTCATTATCAGCTCACCTTCTCCACTGAGCAGTGGACCCACACCGTCCTTGATTGTTCTTTTTTTCTGACATATTTGAAGAACTCCTTCTTGTTGTCCCTAACATTTCTTGTCAGCTGTAACTCATTCTTTGCCTTGGGCTTTCCTGATTTTGTCCCTACACACTCATGCTATTCCCATGTATACTTCCTTGCTGACATGCCCTTCCTTCCATTTCCTGTATGTAGCCCTTTTGGTTTTTAGATAGTTAGAAGCTCCTTGTGCAGCCACATTGGCCTCCTGTGGCTCTTCTTATCTTTTCTCTCATCAGAATAGCTTGATGTTGACTTTGACTCCTTTTCTTCTTAATTGGTCTTTCCATGGGACCTTGCCTACTATTTTTCTGAGTCGGTAGAAATCTGCTTTTCTGAAGGTTGTGAATCATGATGGGAAGTCATTCAAACCTTCACTGGTTCATCCAGTATTTTCCCAGTGGGGTCATCCAGACACAGGTCAGAACAATAAGCACCCAAAGTTCTGTGTGAGAGTGAACGGGGACATACAATGTGTATCACATGCCCTTTTTCACATTGGGGAAAGCACTCCTTTACACCTGTCTTTCATTTCCCCTCATCCTCGCGAAATTGAGGAAGATTCAACAAAACAGATCCAGAGTGATCTTAGTCATGATCATCTGGGCTGGGCAAAACTGGCTCTTGGAACTTTTGGCTCTCATTTACTCTTACCCAGTCGTGATACCTCGTCTGAGCAGAATAGGGTAATTCTCTCAAATCTTAAGTCACTTCTACTGACAGTATGGCTGCTAGATTTCTAAGGTCAAATAGACTTACACTTGTCCAAAGAGATCAAGGCTGTTCTGTTAGAGTCCAGAAGCCATCCACTAGGAGGTGTTATATGGCCAAATGGAACCAATTTAAAATGTTGACTTAAGAAAAAGACCTGGACCCACTTTCATGGCCAGTTTCAGTTATTTTAGAATTTCTCTAGTTTCTGATAGTATTAAGAGTGTCGTTAGCTTCCACTAACATCTACTTAGCTGTTATATCTGCCTATATCATGGAATGTAACCATCCCCTCTTAGAATACTTATTAAAGGGATGTTCCAGACTTGCACCTTCCCATTTGGGATTCTGCTGATCCTTGATACTTGTGGCACTACCCAAACTCATAGAAGGGCCCTTTAAGTTTATGGGATCCTGTGGTCTGTACCATCTCTTGCTGAAGTTCTCATTCTTCGTGGCCATTAAATCAGCCAGAGGGGCTTGGAATTGCAGGGCCTGATGACCTGTCCACCTTATACTACATTTCATGAAGATAATGGGATATGCAGGCTTTGCCCAAAAATTCTTCAAAAACAGTATCAGAGTTTCACCTCAGTCTATATCAATGTCTGTATTTTCCCCAGAATCCCCATAGCCATGCTGGAAAAGAGAGGGTACATACCACGAATTATAAAAGAGCTTTTAGTTACTACTTAGACAGAACAAAGTTGTTTAGAAAGTCAGAGTACTTGTGGACTTTGGAGAAAAATCTACCAGTGAAGACATCTCAGCTCTAAAGCTGTTTAAGGGGATAAAACCATGCATCCAGTCATGTTATAACCTACCTGATGTTTGTGTACCAAACATCTTAGGACACACTCAGCTAGGGAGGTAGCAGCATCAATGGCAAGAATCTACAATGTGCCATTATCTAAAATCTTGAAATTCAGTTCACACTTTCATGAGTCACTAGTCTCTCAACACTGCATCAAGAACTGATGCTAGTTTCACGAGGGCAATGCCTCAGTCACTGTTCAGTTAGCAGGACTTCTCAGTTAACCTTTGGGAGTCAGTGCTAGCTGGTCTCCTACAATGGAGCTCTTGTGGAGACAATGGGTAAAATTTTCAAAAGCACCTAAAAGACTGAAAAGTCTAAGTCTCACTGACTTTCAATGAGACTAAGGGCAGGTCTACACTTAAAATGCTGCAGCGGTGTAGCCACACTGGTGCAGCTGTGACCTGTTATGCTTCAGTGAAGATGCTACTACACCAGTGGGAGAGCTTCTCCCATCAGCGTAAATAATCCACCTCTGCAAGAAGTGGTAGCTATTTCGATGGGAGAAGTCCTCCTGTTGACATAGCACTGTCTACACCGAGGGTTAGGTTGGTATAACTGTGTTGCTCAGGGGTATGGATTTTTCACACCCTTGAGCAACGCAGTTATACCGATGTAAGTTTACAGTGTAGACCTGACCTTAGGCTAAGTGCTTAAGTCACTTTTGAAAATGAGACCTAAGGGCTTAAATTTCTTAGTTGCTTTAATTTCTTTTTAAACCAGGCATCACTAAAAAGATAAAGGAATTACTTAATAGTAACTCTGTTCTCCAAGTGTATTGACTCCACAGAGCCACAGGATGATACTCTCTCCTCCCCTCTGCCTCAAAGCCCAGCTCTAAAGAGAAAAGGAGTACTTGTGGCACTTAATAGACAAACCAATTTATTTGAGCATGAGCTTTCGTGAGCTAAGTGAGCTGTAGCTCACAAAAGCTTATGCTCAAATAAATTGGTTAGTCTCTAAGGTGCCACAAGTACTCCTTTTCTTTTTGCGAATACAGACTAACATGGCTGTTACTCTGAAACCAGCTCTAAAGAGAGTCTTTGGAGGTAAAGGGACTGCTAGAGGTAAGTCTGGCTGATGTAAGTCAGGCAGCAAGTTTTCCCCTGCTCAAAGCAGATTTAGATGGCACAGTGGTAAAAGAACCAGTTGTCAGTCAGATCCAGCTCTCCCATTGTTGCTGGCAATGGTGGTACTGCACTGGTGATAGAGAAATAATGGGGGATTTTATGAAAGTGCTCATTGTATACAAAGCTGGGACCTTTTGATGGCACCCAGGATGAGAAAGGAAATGTAAGTTGTGTCTGTCTGGTCAGCCCTCTCTCTCCGTCCCTGCCCTGTACAAGTGCTCTCTTTCCCATAAAGGCTGATTTGTGCAGATATTGCTGGAGTCTTGGAATAGTATGTGTACGTCATATATCCTGCAATACCTATGCACAACAGAATGAGTCAAGGACAATCCATAAACTTTAACTTTGAATTTCCTTGATTTTATTGATCATATGTTAATTGCATTATATCATTTTGTATCCGTGATGTTTGTAAAAGTTCTAATTTCAAACTAATCCACCTGGCAAAGGCTTTTAAGGCTCACAATGCTAGACTGAAACAACAGAGAAGAATTATATTTGCAACAAATTGTTTTACCCAGACGTGCTCAAAACACAAATGTCTCGATGGAAAAAGTGAGGTAGAACAATAAATGGAAACTTCTATTAAGAAGAGTTCTTGAAAGGTCACACTGAGGCACACTTACTGGAGCATACTATACTTTTCTAGGCTTTCTGCTTTCTAACCTGTAAAGTATGACTGGATTTCTATCTTTCAGCAAGGCCTTTACCTAACTTTTTGAAAATATAAAAACAAAACAAACAAACAAACAAAAAAGACAGGAAAAGCTTTGATCATGCACTTTTAAAAAACTGTTCTGGTTTAAAATAACTTACGATGAAAGGGTCACTTACTGGAAGAAGGGCACTGCTTAAAATTTAAGCAGTCAGTAATGGGAAGCGACAGACCTCTAACAATTTAAGTCTTTCACAGTTGAATGAATTTGCACGGACAGCAAGACAAGGATGTGCTAACCTACCTTACCAGGACCTTGGCTATAGCTTGATATGCTCTACCTAGGCCAACAAGATCACACAGTTCTGTGGAGATTTCTTTGTAGGTGTTCAGATTCTGTGAGGCAGGAAAAAACAAACAATAAAAACATAACATCAAACACTACTGCTTTTGATTTAGAATCAATTTGTCCATACAAGGAGCTAACATGCCGTTTTTATTATCTACAGAGTGCTACTTTTTAATCACTATTTCATTTTTGTATATGTAATAATTACAAGTAATAAACATAAGGATGTCCAATTTCCTTAAATCACTCTTAGCACTGCAGAAAACCAAACAAACATGATTTACAAAAGAATTTGCTTATCTATAATTTAATAGATTTTAGGAGCTGTGCATATTTTTAAAGAAATCTGTGAGTCAATATTTTAAGAGCATTCTGCATTCATATGTGATATATTTTGAGATGATACACTGAAATGCACATTTTCTTTCTTTAAAACACTAATTTTGAGAACTCTGCTTTTGGTACAGTTCTGAGGCATAAAGGAAATTGAATAAATTGTAGTTTGTATATTTAAGCTAGGGTTAATCAAAAAAGATCATTGTAGATCATTTCATTACATGCACTACTAATTATTCCAGCACACAAGCAATTTGTTAATACTTGTTTGGAATGTACTCCATTAACATGACCTCTTCTATAATCAAAGGATTACAGCTGCCACCAAGAAACATATGATCTTAATTTAATTTAACACTGACATCATCTGTATTGCATAATTTCCCTTTTTCATCCATTTTTTTCCAATGGGGATGAGGAAGGAAGGCGTATAAAATGAAATCCCATTCTTTCCTCCCTCCCCCTTTGTTCCTTGACCCAACCTATTACACACATGAGGACACAGGAAATCTCCAAAGACTATCTATAGAAATCCTTTTTGCACATTTCCAAGAAAGGATTAGTGAATGTCATTTACCAGACTGAAGGGGGATGGGAGGTGTAAAGGGACATATGACAGCACCTTACCTACCCCATGATGCCTGTCTAGGACAGTTCTTCATGTTGTGGGAAAAGAAAGGGCACTTTGTATTAAGAGCTCATCTCTCTTCATCTGGTAAAGTAGAGGGTTCAAAGAAGAACATCTGTGTGCCAAACATCAGTGAGCATGGATTTCAGCACTCCTATTGCTGCTTCTTCCACTCAGAGATTTCTTGTTGTCTACTGTGCATGTCTGGTATAGGCTTGGGTAGGGTATTTGATCCAACCCTCAGTGGATTCTCATTCTATTTTTGAGTCATCTAAACTATGTCTGCACTGGAAAGCAACATTTGCCAATGTGTATTCTGCACTATTTCCTCTTCATTACCTCATCAACAGAGTTTCAGTCTTCATATTCAGCAGTATTACTTCCTGTGTTTTGAAGGGCATTGTGAATTGAAGTAAATGAGATGTCAAAAAGAGAACAGATGACATTGGTCATAAGACTCATAGCACCAGCTTGGAACTCTCTCTTGACTGAGTACTTGCTCAAATTAAAGTCTTCAATGGTGCAGAATTAAAGAATTTTGGGGTCCTGTGCACTACGGCAATTGGGAACCCTCCCACCTTCCCTGCCCCTTGTGGAATGGGAGGCCCTGGTGAGCTGTTCAGTCTGAGCGCACCCCACATTCATCCCTCAAAAGCTCCTGTCCCGTGGGGCTGTCCTGGCTCCCTGCTCCAGCCTGTTGGCTCTCAACACAATGTGCAAGCAGGGACCTCCTCAAATTATGCTCCACCCCATCCTGCCTCCTTCCATAGACTGTGGTTTTGGAGGTGGGGGAGAGAGGTTTCCCCCTGTGGTCCTGGAGCCCCCTGAGATGGGGGCCCTGTGCAAATGCATTGCATGCACATTGGTTAATCCAGGCCTGGACTTCAAGGCCTCAATAAGTCTTTCTAAGATTCCAGCTTAAGGCACAGTCATGGATAGTATTAAAATCTCCTTACAGTACCAATGTCCAAGACTTAAAGAAATAGTTCGCAATTTTACAATTAACTCAGAGGGCATACAATTCCCCTTGCAATATTTGTGTACACATCAGACATTCTGCCATGTCCATATGGGGACGTTTCCAAAGGCATTCCATACTGGGCTGATATCACTCCTTGTTTAAGCAGGGCCTCATGCGGCCAAAATATGTCAGGGAAGATTGCTTAGGTGTGAGGAGGCTACCACTTTCATTCTAACCAAGGGGGTTCAACAGCCAGAAAAGTAGGTAGAATTGGCCAGGGAAGAGGCTTGGACAGAATGCTGGGACAATAACTGACTTAGTACTCCCTGCAGCTAGGTTCCAGGGTAACTCTCAAAAGAAAGTAAAGCTGCTCCCCGTAGGAAGAAATCCTTAGAGAAGGCAGAGGTGGTAACCTCACTTGCACTCCCCAGAGAATGGTTTTCCCACCTGGATTGCTGAAGCCATTGCTTGTACAAGGAGGTGCAAAGGCACTCATAATTCTCAAATGTCCCCCATTTGAGGGACGTTACTTATTTTGGTCCCAAAGTTACACAAATCTGGTATGCTGTCACATATATTGTTGAAAACTATTTAAATCTATCTGAAATAAAGACTTGTGCAACCAAGGTTACAAAAAGAGCTATTTACACTAAAGGAAAAAATCCTGTAGAATTTTAATTTTCCTGTCTGAATAAGATTTTTTGTGTCCCTCATTTTGGGTCAAGGTCCCACACTGAGCCAGAGTCTCAGCTGGTGACATAGCTCCACTGAAGCTGATTGGTACCAGCTGAGGATCTGGCCCACTGTGTCCCATATTTAGGACTTGGCAAGTTGAGAAGTATGCCTGGCCTACTCTCTTGTAACTCTTTCTCAGAACAGGATGCTTAGGAGATAGATATTTGTGTACACAATCCCAAATTGCACATAAAACATCTGCAGAAAAATAAACCAAATAAATCATGAACATGAAGAGGGGAGCAGACAAGATATACTGTATGTGTCCACCTTAGACTGTTTCCCCAACTTCAGCCACTGCAGATCTACCACATAATGAGGCAAATCCTCAAAGGAAAGGAGATGTGGAATTGTCCCTGTATGCTCTGTGTGCTCAGTGTTCACTCAAGCGGAATATGTGAATGGAGCCTGAGAGCCTCATCTATTGTCAAGGTTTCACTAACACCTGCTGGGGAGGGAAAACATCAGAAGGTACTGTATACCTAAAGAGACAGATTAAGATATAGGCACTATAGACCTGTGCCAGAACCCCAGGTCCTGGAGTCATACGATTACATCAAAATTGTAACTTTCATTTTAGAAAAAAGCACGTGGCCTTCATGGTTGTAAAGACAAGCTTGAAACCATAACTCAAGTGTTACCAATGCCAGAGTCTTCAGTTAGCCTGAAACAGCCAGCTCTGAGAAGAGCCTCATGTATCTGACAACAGGGTGTTAACTCCAAGACCTACTTTTTTGGTGGGAGGGGTCCTGCCAACACCACCCAACAGAGTATTTCTGGCAAGAAAATATCATTACAGTAGTCCTAACCCATCCACCCAGATACACTCTGGCTGCTGGAGTAAATACTTGGGAATCTCTGTTGCCTCACCTAGAAAGTGAAGGAGTCCCCATGTGGCTGACCCATGCCACAGGACAGTCCATATCATGGTGTGCCTATAGCACAGACTGCCTTAATCCAGCCCTTGTATACCTCTACAAGGGGACTGGTAGTTTAGTTAGGTGATAGTAAGTTAATAGCACAAGTAGGATGGGAGGGATGTTGATAAAGTGGTCTGGTGGTGCAAGGAGAATGTAGCTGGGTAGAGCCTGGTGGGATCGCACCAGTGAGGGGACCTGAGGCTGAATGTGGTGAGTACTGGGATGCCATAGCTTGGAGAAGACACTGAAGAGTCAAGCAGAGGATGAGGGGGAAAGGGTTGAGCTGGGGTTGGCAAAGCTAGTTGGCTGCTGATAGTGGGCAATCGCGAGGAAGGGTCAAACGTTAGCAAAGGAGCTGGGGTAGGCATTTGGAGGAGGGAACAATGTTCTCATTGTCTTTAAATGTGTACACGTCTGCTCAGACCTAGAGAAATTCACACTAACCTTCCTTATACAAATTGATCTGTCACTTGGCAGTAGCTTATCTGTAGGAATCAGGTCAAGGAAGTAATTCCGCTGCTAGCTACTGTTAGGATATAGATATTCAGGCCTGTCTGTAAAGGCCTATACTCTAAGAATTTAGGTGTATTCTTATCACTTAGCTAGTTATAGAGGTATACAAGAAAGAATCAAAATCACTGTCTGCCAGTGTAAGGTCCTTCTCTTACTATGACAGTCTGAGGCCCTGTGCTTAGGCTAAGATCTTTGGCTAAGCAGCAGAGGCAGCCACAAGCTGGGAAGCGAATGGTCAGATCCTCACATTCCAAACTAGTCACATTGAAATAAGGTGCTATTGGGCTGTTAGGAACACAATCCTGTCCTGATAATGCCTATCGCCTCCAGAGAAAGGGAAGTGCCTAGAAGATGTAAAAGGAAACTTAGTTTGATAGCATCCTGTCTGGCAAGAACTCACTTATCAATAGCTGGGATGTGAAATCCTCATTTCTTTGTTGTTCTATCACTGTAGTCCCCATTTCCCTATTGTTTGTCTGTATAATCTCTGTCTGGTTCTGTGATTGTTTCTGTCTGCTGTATAATTAATTTTGCCGGGTGCAAACTAATTAAGGTGGTGGGATATAATTAGTTAAATAATCAAGTTACAATATGTTAGGATTGGTTAGTTAAATTTCAGTAAAATGATTGGTTAAGATATAGCTAAGCAGAGGCTGTTACTCTGAAACCTATCAAGTTTTACTATATAGTCTGCAGTCAATCAGGAAGTGTGTATGTGTGTGTGTGGGGGGGGAAATGGGAACAGAGAATGGGGGTGGGGAAATTGGAATCATGTTTAGCTAAGGGCAGGAATGGGAACAGGGCCACAGGTAAGACTCTGTGGTGTCAGAGCTGGGAAGGGGGACACTAAGGAAGGAAACTGGAATCATGCTTGCTGGAAGTTCACCCCAATAAACATCGAATTGTTTGCACCTTTGGACGGGTGTTGTTGCTCTCTGTTCATGTGAGAAGAAC